CTTGTCCCACTATCATACTCAGACTTCATTTGGGTTTCAGTAATTCCTCTTGGTTACCTTGCCTTGATCAAGCCCTACCAGGCCTCTTACACCCTCCTCATCACCGATTTTGGATCATTTGTTCCCTTGTCCCTCAGTTTGTTAACACCACTTCCTATCCCCCACCTCCCCCTTTCCCATGTTCTTCTGGAACCGTCAGTTTTCTCCTCCAGATTGTTTATCCTGCATATCTTATCTAGATAGACCTGTAAGAACAGTTCTTATATGCCCTTCAATCAAGGGCTTCAAACATTTCTCGTATGGCTTATCAAAACAGACTGGGATATTTACAATTTGAGTGATTCAAACAGTAATCAGAATAGAAAAAATTACAGGTTGAAATCATGGAATAGGAAAACTCAAAGTGTCGAGCCCTTTCAGGAGCCTAATGCACAAGACTGGATTATTCGCCAGACTGTGGAGAGGCTTGCACACTAAAATAGCATGGTCAGTCACCATCTGGGGCATTTGTAAACATCTGTGAAATACGTCTACAACTGTTTTTTATAAATTTGCCCTAATGTTGGAGCAGTTGGGACATCTCTTCACATAAAAATTATCATGATTACCTTACTTTCAGCCTTTTCTACTACTGAAAAGGTATTGAATCTTTTCTTATGCTTACTCTAATACCCACTGATATCGACACTCTATTCTAATTAAAGTAGAACTTCACACTTGTTCCAAGTAAAGAAACAGGAATGGCTCTCACTGGTAACCTAGACTGCCTATTATATATCTCAGTCTTGTGTTTGACTGAAAATCAAATACCTTCTTCAATATAATTTCTTATGGTGAAAATAGTAAGGATAACAATTGACACAATTTTCTCTAAATTGCATCTTTTGAACTACTATAGAATAATAAACATCATACCCGTAGTTCCATTTTATGCCATGGCTGCTTCTTTGGATTGATACTGTAAATTTTATTTTTCCGGGCCATTTCAACATATGCTTCATGTCCTTGTCGAAAATAATATACCTAGAAAGTAAAAAGTGACAGTTTAACACAAGGTGCAAGGTGCCAACTGCATCTGTAAAGTAATGGGTCCTTTATTATCGATTTGATTTTGATATTTACTTTCTTGTATCCTTCAGTCATATCAGTCACTTAATCATAATCAGAATGTTCTAAATAATTTGCTTTTCATTGACATTGTGTTGTATACTCAAGCCCCCAATGATCTTGGATCAAAAGAGGATATTTAATGTTGTACTTTAAAGTGAATTATAACTTGTCAGCTGCGGTTCCATCAACTTACAATTCAAGGTAATCAAAATGTATTAACAGCTTGACACAATGCCCAGTGCTATGCTATTTTCATGATCAATTTGTATGTCTGTACCCATTGTACGGCCATCTCATTGGGTTTGCCATGTACTCAAAAATCCTTATACTTCAACAAACATGATTAGTTTCCTAATAATAGCACATGCATATAATGTGATTAAAAATAACAGGGCTTGGGTCAAGTGCTTTCTCAGTCAGCATAGTGACATTCTTTTTCAAACCTTTAAAAAGATTTTTGTAGCCTTATTTCCATGATGTAATATTTCATTTGATTTCTTGATTGATGTTTTTGGGACAAGTGCTTGTTTTTTTTCATTATATATTTTATTGTGAATTAGTTGAAGGTTCATAGAATCACCAGTTACATTCAGCAATTCATTCCCATTGTTTCAATCCATCCACAGTAGTCCCTCAATATACCATCCATCACTTATCCTGTGATTCCTGTTTCCATCCCTCCTTTGCTAACGCTACATTGTCCTGTCATATACAGTGCTCTTTTGATCTTAAATGTTGATCATTCTAACACAAGGGTGAATTCTGTTCCAGACCTGAAGGCTACTAAGGGCAACAGTTTCTACTTGATCCATAAGCCTTGTCTCTTATGATTCTGTTTTGTTGCACATTTGTTTCCCACTCTATCAAGGA